TATTGATGGTCAGCAGACATTTGCAGCTTGTTCTAAAAATTGTGGTGCCCGGAACTGATGTTCCGGGCAAACAAGGAGTTGAGTAGTTTACTTTGGGACTTTAGGTCTGTTACAGATTTTTATCTAGTGTCCCAAAACTAACAAGCATCTTTATCCATTAACTGACATTTAATCACAATGGGGCTGGAGAAAAGGAACAAAGGTTATGCAGTCCCACATCATAAGAGTGTATAGCTTAATAAAATAAGGTCATGTTTACTTAGTCATGGTTAGACATTGTGAGAGGAAATATCTTTAACATTCTTAAGAATTAGGTGTAGCAGTAACTACAACATAAGGAAAGTATTCTGACTTAATTTGTGTTTCTATTTGCATTGATACAATTATGAATTACTGGTGTAGTCTGCTGGTGTTGATCACTTTGTTTATTCAATCAATGAGTTGTGGAAAATTTTAATTAAATTAAAATTTAAAAAATTAAGTTGCTGATGAGTTAATGTAGATAACAATTTTGACTAAAAGATGTTGGATGTTTAAATAAATAGTTATGCTTTGAACCATGTATATAGGAAAGCATTTCCCAAAGCATCTATTGCCTATCAGAATGGAAGACAGGTAGAAAAAACCACACTAGTGCTTAAATTGAACATAGGAGTTTCCTCTGGCTACCTGTTGCTATTTACCAAATAAATTCAAGACAGAGTGGCTTTAGACAGTGTACTGTTAGCTGTTATGTTTCTATGAGTTGACTGATGTCAGTGGCCATCTCTCCCCTGAGAGTCCATGGTTGATAGTGTGATGAATGTGGGGGACAGAGTCATTTGAAAGCCTGGCTGGGCTAGACATTCATGATAGCAGTCAGCAGCTGTCAGCTGATGCCAGCTGGAGGCTGGGAGCCACACTGGGGCTGTGGAATGGAGGGTCAACACTTGGCTTTTCCATTTGGTTTAGGCTTTGTTTTATGCATGGCAGCTGCCAGGCCTGATAATGATTGCCTCTGAAATTGGCACAGATTACTTTTCCTGCATTCAGTTATTGAGAGAAACCACAGGGCACACTTACATTCAGTAGGGTGGAAAAACAATCCTCTCTTGATGAGAAATGCAAAGTCACATGGCAGAAGACCATAGAGGGTGGAAATGATTGCTGAGTCACCCTCTGGACAATACAATCTGCTGCATGACTATAGATATACAGGCAACTCTGACACCATGAATTATCCACCTAAAGCTAAGGAAAGTCTAATATTTAAGTCCCATTTACCCAAGTTGTTCATACTTTTACAAATAGTACAATTTCAATTTTTTATTCTTTCCACCTAAAGGGTAAAACAAAATTTCCTATTCCTCTGTGTTCTACATCTTCCTTTTATTACAACCATTATTACTTTGTCCAATGTAATCAGCACAAATATTCAATTCTAGTGCATAAGATGAACTTTGCTGCCTTGCTAGAGACTTTTGTAGTAGAATCTCTATAAAACTGATCTTATGATCCTAACTTATTCTGGAATGGATTTAAAGAATAAAAAAGTTCCTTAGCAGACTTCTTGTTATCCACTGCATTTTTAATGTGAAAATCAGTCTTTCAGGGCTGATTTGGGTTTATAGTTCTTGCTGGGAATTATAATGGAATAACAATAACAGCTGATATTTATGGAGTGACAGGTGCTACGCTTAGTGCTTTATGTTTTATTTTATGAGGTAGGCACTCTTATTGATGAAGACACTGAGGCTTAGTGGAGGGAAATAATTTGACCAAGGACACACAGTTAGTGAATCATAGAGTCAAAGCATCTAAGTCTATTGAGTAGCAGAGACTGAGTAGTTTCATGCTTAGTGTACTACTTCAGTGTTAGATCAGGCACAAATTCTGATCTGGACTTGCAAAGTAGACAATGGCTTTCTTAGTGCAAAGTGATTATCATTTTGACTGAGTTTAACAACAGTAAAGAGTAGAAATGACATATACCAGATAACACACAGGTCCCCCAGAACTCAGTGGCCAGTGTAGACTATAGAGAAGACTCCAGAGGTACAGTTTTGCTGTAGGGTCACATAATCCCTCCAGGGGTCACCTCCTTACCATACAAGGCAATAATACCCCACTGTGCCCCAGGGTTTTACCTTCGCACCAAAGAAAGCTTGGCCAGGGCTCACTATTGATCTGCTTTGGTGTGTAAAACAGTAGCATCTTTGTTACCTGGGATGCAGGCCACTGTTTTGATTTTTGATAATAATTTCTTGGATAGAATAACATATAAGTATATGTGGGAATAAAACCACTTAACAACAAGTACAGATGAGGGTATAGTGTAGCCTGCATCAACTGCTCTGAACATATCCATATACCCAGGCACATTCCCGAGGCCCTGGGGCTGGTTTTAATGGCGAAGTTGGCACATGACTCCTGACTCTGAAACAGGGGGAATGGCTCAGGGGGTTGGCCTAAGGAGATGACAGGGAAATATTTGAGCATCAGATTAGATTTGAAACAAAACTAAACTAAACTAAACAAAACCAGAATGGCCTGTCCCCAAAACTGGTTGTTTGTGTATATATGTGTGATTTATAACATCTACAGACTGTCATGCCTCTTGCAATATCAATCAATGTCACACAAAGAGAAAATAAAGCCGGAATGGAGTGTCCATGGACTATATGTTAACTTGTACCACCAACCCTCCAGCTATCAGAGTATTTGTTATTTGAATCAGTGTTGCAGATGATAGCGATAAACATGGGAAGCTTTCTCTGCTGCTGAAGTCTAGCCAGAACCAACTTCACCATCTCTCCTTTCTACTGTGCTAGCAAGAAGACAGTTCTATCTCAGACTTTGGATGAAGTGTTAAGAAGTGTCCAGCGCCTATCATGGATCTTTATCTTGCAGAGACTGGAAAAATGGCCCAAATAAGGAGACTGTAGCAGCTTCCTGGGTTGTCAAGTAATCAGTCTCACTTTGACTTTCCTGGATTTAGTCACAGGATATTGACAACTAACTGTGTAGCAATGGCAGAAAGAGAACATTCTTTTTTTTTTTTTAACATTAACAAGTTTTTATTAACTATTACTACAAAGGAGATCTGCGAGAGGGGAGGTAAAGTTTATGATCATTGAGTAAACACCTTTAAGGAGCAGTCTTTTCTACCAGTAACAGGGGTAGGGTAGGGGGATGGTAGAGGTGCGGGCCAGCTTATAAACACTACTGCTCTGTATTCAGTTGGTACACTAAAAGTAGGACAATGGAAATACATGTTCTTAAAGCATTTCCACAGGAAATGGCCATTTTTTATGACATTCTGAATCATTTTGCAATTATATATGCTACATTAACTAAAACACAGGTATTGTTATTGCACATTTCAAAGTTGAAAGGACACTCGAGCTTAAGAGGGAATTTTTAGAGGGGAAGATGACTTTTGAATTCTTTGGCTCAAAAATGCACACTGCCCAAGGCAGCTTAGTACTAAAAACCTTTTAAAAGAAACTTTTGGATTTCAAAGCTGATGAAAACCTTTGTCATGTGAACAGTGCAGTCCGCTTCCTTCTGACTGGAGTCAGTCACCGGGTCTGCCTCAGAGCCCTGGAGGAGTCTCGGCTGCTGCGTGGAGAGGAAGGCCCATGCTCTCCTCTGGGGCCTGCGGGCAGCGAGTCTCCTTCGGCAGGTGGTGGTGGGTAACCCCGGGGGCCAGAAGGTGGTGGTGGCAATCTCGGACCAGGAAGAAAATACTCTCTAGGGCCGAGCGGGACCAGAGGCCTGAACGGTGCTGGTCCTGGCAAGTACTCCCCCTGGGGGAGGCCAGGCAGGTCTCCTCTTCTGGGTAGGATACCTGGGGCGAACTCCCTCAGGCCCAGTGGTGGGTACAAACAGGGAATGAACGGTGGAGGTGGCGGAGGCATTGGCCGAGGTCCGAAAGGCCCGCAGGGGGGCGGCGGTGGTCCACATCCGACAGGTGGTGGCAGAGGACCCCCTTGAATGGTGGCTCTGGGAAACCAGGGGGCCCCTTCAAGGCCACGTTAACCTTGAGCTCATGCTCATTCAGGCCCTTCTCCGAGGAGGAGCCTTGGGAGCCGCTGCTCATCATGGGACCAGGCCCGGGTCCAGCATCAAATTCACTTCTCAGCAGGGGCAGGGAGCACTCCCGCTCACGCTCACTGGGGACCAGCAGAAGGAGCCCTTCTGGCTCAGGGGACCTCTCTGGGGAGGGTTCTGGGCCCCAGGTCCTCCAGGCCTCCGCTTGACAACCACAGGCTCCTCCTCCAAAATCTCCATCTTCTGGGTCATTTCCAGCAATTTGTGCCTCAGGTTAGCAGCTTCCCTTCTCTCCTCAGCGATCCGCCTTTCTGCACTGCGCGCTTTGAGCCGGTTCTGATGGGACTTCCCCTCGTGAGTATCAAGCTGGTTTTGAAAGGAGCGCTCTGTTTTCTGTAATTCTTCCTCCAGTTGTCAAATTCTCCGTTTGCACACCTTGACTTCTGTTGTGCCCAGATTTTGAGGTCCCCAAAGACCACCAAGGAGCCGATTCCAATGTAAACACCTGAGGGTCGTTTATTCAAGCTCGAGCAGAGACTCCCAACCGTCACCGCCGCAGCGGGGCAAGATTGAGAGCCTCGACTCCAAATCAGCAGGGGTTTTTATAGTTGTTACAGCAAGGTTCTAGATTGGCAATTAAACCTGATTATTTGTGCCTTGCGCATCCAAGCTGCAAACGGTTGCTAACTACTGATTAGCTGTTGCTAGGGGACGGCTGAACACTGTCACATGCAGGTGGTCAAAATACATCTTGTGGTTTTTCTTAGAACTGAAATTTATGTCACCAAATTTTAGAATGGAGTCACTTAGGTCTCACAACTTCCTCTGAGGCCAGCACCACCTTCTCTGCAGCCCACAGCCGCTGGTCGCGCTCCTGCAGCTCATACTCTTCCTGACTCAGCTTCTTCTGCAGGGCCATGTCCTGCTGGTACAGCTCATTCAGGATCTCCACCTTCTGCAGCAGCGTCCTGCACTCCTCCTCCAGCCCGGTCTTGGAGGACTGCAGCGCCCCGCAGTCCTCCTCCAGCTTCTTTATCTGCCCTTCCAGGTCATGTTGGATGAGTATTGAGGCTCTCAGCTTGGCTTGTAAAAATTTGAGATCCTCCTGGAGCAGTGAGACTGCGGCCTGGGTTTGGAAGACATCCAGCATCTGCTTAATCTGAGTTTTCATCTCATTCTGCTCACCTCCTCCTTCTCCATTGGCTGATTCATCTGCCTCAGCTCCTCCTGGACCTGGATCCTCAGACTCAGGTCTGCACTCTAATCGATTCAACTGTGGGATGCAATTGGTCAGGGCCCAGATACTATCATCTTTATGAGCCAGAGCGGCTTCCAGTTCCCTCTGAGACTTCTCCAAGGACTTGATCTGCTCTCTGAGCTCAGCATGGCACTTCCAGTCTTCGATTTCCTGCTTCAGCTGCGCTTTCTTCTTCTTCAGCCTGGCATTTTCTTCTTGGACCTGCTGGCACTCAGACTTCACCTTCTCTTCACTGAGCTTGCCTTCATTCAGGGCAATCTGGACCTCTGATAATTCTGAGGGATTCACTGAAATAACATCCTTTAACTTCTCTATAGATTTCCTATTTTCCGGCATCCAATCCTTATTTTTCACATTCTGTTCTCGCTCAGATTCTAACATAACACGAAGCTTTTTAGCCTTGTCACCCAGAATTTTACTATTTCTTTCAAGTACTTTGATTTTATCCTTATATTTAATTGCTTCCTCAGAGAGAATCATATTTTCTTTCTTGGTATTCTGAACCAGCTTCTTTGATTCCTTGACCTTCTGTTCATAATTTGACAATTTCTGTAGAAGCTCTGTATTTTCCTTCATGGTATTCTTCACCTTTTCAGAAATCTGCTGTTCAGTGACTTGATAGATTCTCTCCTTTACAGCAAGAACAGTTCTCCAAAAGAAAATGAGAAATGAAACAATTCCCAAGAAGGCAGTCAGAAGAAGCACAGGCTTCCACGGTAGCCCATAAAAATCAGGTCCAGGCTGAACATCCTCAGGCAAAGTACCAACTAGCTCCAGAAGCCGGGCCACGAGGGCTGCGTACAGCACCGACAGGGGCCCCAGCAGCTCCGGGTCACCCGGGGACACGGTGACCACGGGTGCAGTGGCCAGCACCGTGTCCATTGGGAAGGGCAGCTCGCTCCCTGTGGGTTCGGCCGGACTGGGCCAGACCCCGTTCCGGAGAGGCTGCCTTCTGGGAGCTGACAGGGGGCGGGACCGCAGGGCCTCGCCTTCCGCTGAGCTCTGTGCCCTGAGCTGTAAACACACAGCAGGGATGGTTTCCAGGGAGACTCTGCCGCGTGCCTGCGCAGAGGGGGAGGGGCGGGTTGAGAGAACATTCTTATATGTGGAGGACAATGCTGGCCTGCCAAAATATGCATCCATTTAGCTATAAATGTCTGTAGTTTCTCATTATTTATGGCTGAGTAGTACTCCATTTCATAAAAAACCCCACATCTTCTTTATGTAGTTTCCAGTTGATGGGCTCTTGGGCTGTTTCCAAGCTTTAGTTATTACAAACTGTGCTGCTATAAACAAGGGTGCACATATACCACTGTGGTATGTAAATTTTTAAAAAAGGATTCATCAACAGATAAAAATTTGTTGAGGATCCTTTTCTTGCAAGGAGTGTACATTTAATACTCGCTAAAAGTCACTCCTCCAAGAAAAGCAAGGAATTTATTACAAGTAAATCTGATAAAGGACAAGAAATAGATAGCTTCAGGAGAAATCTATTTAATGGTCTTGTCCAGTAGTTACCACTGGATGAATTCAATTTCAACTGGTTTTGTTCTTCCATAAATCTAATGCAAAGGCTCAAGATTGAATCTGATTGAAATACTGTAAATTTGGCCATTCACCTTGACTTAAGTTTGTTAATAAGCTTTCTGTTACCATCAGATGTTGAGACAATCATCTTATAAAGAGTAAAGGTTCATTTTGGCTCACAGTTTTAGAGGTTTCAGGCCATGACTGATTGGCCTTGTTGCTTTGAATGAGGCAGAACATCATGGTAGGAGAGCATGGTTAATGGAGCAGAGCTTCTCACCTCAAGGCCAGGCAGCAGAAGAGATAAGAAGGGGTGGCAGTCTTGTTTTCTAGCTTAGGGACCTCACCTCAGTGGCCTGAACACAGCCCTCTGTACCTTCTCTCCTAAAGCCTTCACCACCTTCCAACAGCACCAAGCTAGGGATCAAGACTTCAATACATGGGCCTTTGGGGGGAACATTTAAGATCCAAAGTCTAGCAACAAGTATGGAACACCGTGCCCAAGGGAGGAGCCATTCCACAAAAGTGCAATTTAGAACAGAGGAATCAAAAAGCCTTGGTATAAAAAAAATGGAGGTGAAAGTAGGGTTTGCCCTTAAAAATTCTATGAGAGCAGAGAAATACTGGTAGTGTGAGTTTTGTCAAGAGAAGAGTGAATGAAGTGTTACAGCACTGGACAGACACTCATATACTCATGTGACTTTCAACAGCAATGACATTTGCTCCTTCTGGAAAGTTGATTATTACTAAGGGTTTATAAAAGTGAAGGCAAATGGTTAAAGTGGTACTATGATGGTACAAACTAGTTAAAAACAGAAACTGGCTAATGTTTATTTCTTGTGCTAGTCTGTTTTTCAACACTGTAACAAATTACCTGAGGCTGAGTAATTTTATTTAGAGATTCATTAGTCACTCAGTAAGGTCAGATAACCATCTCTGGTAATGGCCTTATTGCTTGCAAAGTCCTGAGTAGTGGATTTGACTCTTGGATACACTGCAGCAGCAAAGGATGCCTAACAAAAGAACATGATACATACTGCAAACAGACAGGCAGTTGATGTTATAAAAGAATGACAGGTTGTGGAATAGTCCTCTCTGATTGTTGTTGACTTGCATACTTGTCCATTATGTATAGGATAATTCATTTATATGTATTTTAAGATTCTTCATCCAGGGCCAGGGATTTAGCTCAGTGACACTGCACCTGCCTGGCAAGCGCAAGGTCCTGAGTAATACCCCTTTCATATTCTTTTGCATATCTTACTAATTTGTGCAATGGTGGATTCCTTAGTCCTGTTTTAAGTTATTAGTTTTTTATTCCATCATTTGTAGTTATTTATTTCATTTTTCTAAGTATAAAATTCCAATCTCAATAAATTTTTAAATTTCTATGATTCTGATTGGTTGATTGGTTCTTTCCCATATTCATAATTCTATACATATTCACCTGCTTTACTTGGATTTTCAAAAGTGGATACTAGTTTCTGCATTATTTTAAACTTTTTTTTTTTTTTTTGCAGTACTAGTAATCAAATCCAGGGCCTCATGCATACTAGGCCAGTACTGTACCACTGAGCTATATCCCTAGCCCTTCTGTAACATCTTAAATAACTTGTTTTTTAAAAGGTAATTCTCTCATGTTCATCTTCATAAAAGTGAATTTTCCTCTACTGAGTTCCTTTTGATCCATGTTACATGGTATTGTCTCTCCCTCTGTCTTTAAAACATTTTGGGTATACAGCTTGGTGTTTTCTGTCCTGTCTTTATCCCTTCCTGTCTGGTAGTTGCTACCTCCTCCTCAATTCTACAGGGTATGGAATTAGTTTTTCTATAAGAGTTTGTGGCTCTGGTCCCTGCCAAATGCTTTCCACAACCACTGCTTGCCTTGGCCACTGCCCTGTGAGATGCTTCTCTTATTTCTCTCCCACTAACAAGTGACTTCTGGTCAGCTTTGGTTCTGGGAAGTGGTCCTGGCTAATTTTATCTCCTCTTCATGCAAAATGGAGTCTTATTTACACCCCTTTGCCCTACAGAGACCTTAGAGCTTGCTTTCTTCCATGTGTTTCTTGATTTTTGGTCTTAATTTTTTGCAGGAGTTGAAATATCAGAAATCACTTCTTGTTCCAAGGCTTTGAGCTCTGTAGGCCTGCTTTCATAGCTTATCTACTCCTTGGATTTCTATTGTATTTCTGGTCTCAAAAAAAATTCTAAATTATTTCTTTGTTCAGTTTTGTCTTTTTATATTTTAAAAATAAGGGCCTGGGATTTAGCTCAGTGGTTTTGCCACCTGCTGCGCAAGCACAAGGACCTGAGTTCAATCCCCAGTTCCCCCCCCCCCAAAAATTAATAAATAAAATTTAAAAAAATACATTTAGTGACCTGTTCTTTTGTATTGAAGTGAAGAGGGAGAATGCACACAAGCTTTTGCATAGAATTTATTCTGGAATAAATTCAGTTTTTGGTACATGTTTCTCGATATAGATATTATATACCAATGGATAATTATTTGTGGGTAATTCTACAATGAGATAATATTTTTTCATAGAATATTTAGACATGAATTTTTAGTAATAATCCTAATCTAGCTGTGCAGCCCTGAGCTTGACAGCCCACTGCTCTATTTCTTCCCCAAAAAGTGAGGGGCTTACTCCCAGAGGGGTGTTGCTGAAGCATAATGCAGGGTAGTAAAGATTTATGTGAAGAAATCAGGGGTATTATGGAATGGAAAGGTCTTTAGCCTACAAGAGGGCTTCCTTTGTAGATGTGGTCAGTGACAAGGAAAGTACGAAAACCAATGATTATAGCCATCTGAACAAAGCAAGAAGAGGTTCACATCCATATTGATGAAACTAAAGTCATCTATGCAAAAGACATTTATGAAGTATGCAATTTACTTTTTAGCAGAAGAAAATGTTACATGTTTCTTAAGAGAGTTTTGTCTAACATGTGAATGAACAATTTATGATGCTATTTTATAATATATTGGGTCTTGGTGTGTTGGTCCACAATGTTCAACTGAAGTTTCAGATTCTTCTCTGAGAAACAGGTTACTTAGCTAATGTTGAAAAAAATGCTAAAGTCTGGAATAAGTTTTTAAAATGGGGTGGTGTGGGGCTTGGGATGTAGCTCAGAGGTAGGGAACCTGCCTAGGGTGTGTGAGGCCCTGGGTTCAATTGCCAGCATGGGGAAAAAAAAGATTTTTAATAATATTGGGAAAGATAGAAAAGCATATTATGATTTTATTTTAAAATTTGGAAATAAGGATGATTTATTTGTATTTTGTTCAGTTTTTCTGAGTTTTCATGGCAATAACAGTAGAAATTATTACTGGGGTTGGGAAGATGACATTAATCCATGTGATGATTTGCATTCAAATAGCAAGGTTTATTGAATAAAAAGAAAAATATCCTGACAGGTTTTTGGGTTTTGTGTGGCCTCTGTTGGAGGTAGGGGTGCTTCAGGAATAACTTCATCATTATCTCCATTGGTTTCCAGGTTGAACTTGGTGGGTTTGGCTGGCAGGACATTTGGGTGTTCTTTTCATTTCCAGTTGTTCCAGACTGTCAGAGGGAGAGATAGAGAGAGAGAGAGAGAGAGAGAG